TCATCAGTGGGAAAAAATAATTTTTCTCTTCGTATTTTACTGGGGGAGTCCCCACAGACCTATGATCTCCTTACAGGGTGCCCTAGCCACGTGAAGATAGCGGAGCGAATTGCAGCAGGCAGGGATATGGTGCGAATGGCGGCAGGGAGGGAGTTCCATCGGTCTGCTCCAAGATAAGATACAAAGTGATAGCCAAAATACAATCTGGCATGGGGCATTACTAGGCCGAGCGATTTCTGAAAACGAGTAATTCTAGCAGTGCGGGATGATGAGACAGCACAAGGAGTGAAAAGTAGGCAAAGTAGGGACTAGCACGAGCATTTATGTATCTATGTACAAACACATAGAGGTTGGCAGAATAGCGAATATTTAACGGTGTTAGATGCTGTCTAGCTGGGTTGGAAAAAGGCAGAGGGTGGGAAGCTAAAGACAGTGAGAATCGCCCGATTCGCAGTGCTAATAAAAGCGTAATAGGTAGTCTGTCGCAAGAAGTGCACTTATGCATTGCTTGCGCGTACTCCAGGGTAGAGTGGACAAATGCAAGATAGACAGTTTGCTTGGCTCTAGCACTGAGAAGGTGACGGCAACGGCGAAAAGCATTGACCTTGCCAATAACTGTACTTCTAATGTTACTTACTTGCTGTTGAAACGACAGATGCTCATCTATGATGATGCCCAGGTACATGGCTTGCTGCGATTGCTGTATACGGCTGTTGCAGAACTGGAGGGCACAGTCTGCATGTACATTGGGTTTCAGTAGGAGCAGGAATTGTGTCTTGGATGGGTTCAACTGCATTCCACCGGCCTCCAGAAAGCTGCTCACACGGGTCAAAATCATGTTCACGGTCTCTGCGGCAGTGGAATGGGACGGGTCGGCTGGGTAGATGTTGGTGTCATCTGCATACAGGTGGTAGAGGGATGACTGTTGGCAGGCTGGTAGGCACCTGATGTACACCGTGAATTGTGCTGGTCCCAGGACCGAGCCCAGAGGGAAACCGCGATTGGCCGAGTACGGAGTTCCCGGTGTTTGACGAAGGCAATTCACTTGCTGTGGTCGGCTGGACAGATAGCTGGAGAACCATTGCAGAACAGTCCCTCCTACTCCACAGCGCTGCAGCTCCAGAAGGAGCTCACTATACAGGACACAGTCAAAGGCTTTGCTGGGGTCGAGGAATGCTACAGCAACCACGTTGCCGGAGTCCAGTGACCGCTGCCAACTGTCAATGCATAGTGCCAGTGCGTCACCGCATGAATGACAGGAGCAATAGGCGAACTGCTCGTGATAGTGAAGGGCAGTTCAGCTTTCTATTCAGGCCAAGCGCTTGCTACAAACATGGGAGTATTGCAGGGGATACTATCTCTCCCATTGGGTATAATGTTCATCCTAAGGGAGCCATGCGCCATATTGCTCCTATGCTATCGCACGTAAACACAAAACACAGTCAGCACAGCTAGCGGATGATCACGAGAATATTCACACCGATTTTAATTGGAACTTAAAGCACTTCAACAAATAGTCCACACAGTCAAGTAAGCCAATTTACTAACGTCCAGGATGGTCCACCCAATGCGTCCCAAATATCAATAAAAAAATTCAAGGATCTTCGGACTTCAGACAAAATATCACAGGTTTCATTGCTAGGAGAATATTTGGTTCAGACTTGTTGCCTAGCAGTTAGATATTGCTCAATACTCCAGGCGGATATCAATTGCAATGGGCGGATGGAGTTACGGGTAGAGACAACCAGGCGATAGATTCCTCACGGACGCATTCACTGCAAACTTGACGGAAACAGCTCCGGCTTGTTGTTGTTGTTGTGACACATCTATTACCTCCTCGAGACATATCCAGACTGAGGGGAAAGCTCGTCGTCATCTTCCGTCAAAAGGACGCAGAAAGGTCGGAATATATTAATCGGGAAAGGCCATTGTTGCTATTGTTGGAGCATTTATAATCACAAAACGGGCAGATAACGAAGATCTCCTCAAGAAAATTCCCGAACGAGGCAAGAAGTTGTACGCCGGTCTCCAGACCCAACGTTAAGGAAAAGCGCTTTGTGTGCGCAGAGCAAGCCTGACACACACTCATCTGCAAAAAGTATTGCCATTGTGGAGCAGCACGATGGTTAATGTCGCGGCCATGAAGTGAAACATCCTCGACACAAATCCAGTTCAGTGAAACATCTATTACCTCCTCGAGACAAATCCAGTCTGAGGGGAACGCTCGTTGTCATCTTCCGTCAAAAGGACGCGGAAGGGTCCCAGTACAGTCGTCCAGCAAGGCTGTTGTTCGTAATCTCGGAGCATCAACTGGGAAGAAAACCAATGTGTGTGGAGGACTGGCCAGGGATAGCCCGGAACAAAAAGGGGTCTATAACAATGACCTCAGTCAAATCTGAAGTTGAGATGGCTGCCAAGCCTGAAACTTTTATATCTCCAAAGCCTGAACCAGTTTTATTATTTTTTATTATTATAATATATTTGAGGATTTCCCAAAGACGTAGTCTACATTGAAGGGAGTTCCATTATAATGGGAGGCTGTAGGGTTGAGATAGCAGACAGTGGAGGGCTAATGATTCAGCCTAGCGAGAGAAATACAATTATGCTGAATGTTCCAGAATGGTCCTTTACTCAATGATACCAATAGCCTCGGGATATGCCTTGAAATACGAAATGTACCGAAACAGAAACACAAAAATTAATAAGAATAAGCGCAACGCTCAAAGAAGGAGGACAGAGGAATGTCAGTGAGGAGTGGCATTGTGTTTGGTGTCAGAGAAGTGCGTGCAAATGTGACTGTGAAACAGGGACTGCGAGGCTGTGGAGTGATTGTAGCAGGTAGAGATGTGAACTGTTCGCCATCATTTTTGCCTAGTAGGCGAGTCGAAGTGAACCATAGAATCGCGTTGCATAGAGCGTCGTTTCCAGCCAGTGGGTCACCTGCCTCCCAAATGAGAAAGAGGTTCTCACCAATTTGCAATGCAGACTTTCAGAGTGCACTAGTCGGTCTTCTGAAGGAGGTACACGCCAAGAACAAGACTTAGCAACGAGATGAGTCAAACCTCTTGTCAGGTAGGGTGACCGTGGTGCCTAAGTGTGTAGCCTAAGCTAAGCCAGACAGTCAAATGACCCGGAAAAACGTGGTAATCAGAGGCCAGATAAGAAGCCAAAGAGACTCGTAATTCTCAATTATTCATTATCGATTGCAAATATGGCATCTGGCGTGTTATTTGTCGTCATATCTTTTCCTGACTTCTTCAGTCAGTTATGAATCTCAACAGTGTCCCTGCCCTCCCACCTTTCATTTCTGTGCATTTTATTATCGACTCGAATGGAGAGCCAAGAAATAATTTATGAAAAATAAAAAGTAGCAAGGAACTACAAGTTACGCTATGATGTCCACTACCACCACCAGTTACTAAACAATCAGCTCATGCGATAACATTGCACGACACTGACCGACGGTACTGACGTTCTACAACTAACTGGCTAACAGCGCTAGCATACCTTGGATGCGCACTCCAACAGCCTTCCAACTAACTGTTACTTGGAAGGCTCTAAGTTATGGAATGACATCAGGAGTGTTCGAGTGCGCATCCAAGATGTCACGCACAACGCGTGAACCTTTCGTAGTGGATTGACGCGGCGGAGCCAAGAAAGGGAGTTGTAAAAAATCAGGATTTTAGTAATCCTGGGGACGAAAAATATTTTCGTAGATCTGCTCTGTTTCGGTTGCGTTTGGACAGATCTTTGTAGCCACTTTAGTTACTTGAACCCAGACGGTTCACATCTTACGAATCTTCGTTGTGCGCAACCTCTCTAGTGAATGAACTTTACTTACATGAGGCCCAGGATGGTCATTATCGCTTCTGCGCGTGGTCTCTCTCATACTTCCATTTCGAACTACCTGTTGCTGACAGATCGACTTCGGAAGCTCTTGTTGCAAGGTATCACTAAGACTGAGTTAGTTGTAGCATTAACTACACTATGATGATCGCTGGGAGAAGAAACAGTGGAACTACGGAGAATTCGAAAGCTTTTAAGCTAAATGGTTCGGATTCATAGCGTCGCTGGTGAAGAGTGTCTGTATTGTCACTGTATGCACGGGCGGTAGATCCACTCTACACACGCATGAAGTAGATGTGCAGCAAAACTAGTCTCGTTCGCGAGTACACGCTAGGACAGTACAGAAGTGGGAATGCCCTATTAAAAATTTAATAAATAATAATAATAATAAGTAATACAGCAATATCTCAACACGAAATCAGACTGTCCTCTTTTTTTGCCTCCTCCACTTGTGAAAATGATCTGCTAGAAGCCTAGTTTCCACGCTCGACTATTTTTTTTACCACGTTTGACTTGTGGACCCGAGTTCGTGCAAGTGGGGCATGATAGAGCGACTCTTAGAATCATCACGTGCATTGCATGACGCGTTTATAGCGAAAAGTCAAGATCACCATATCCCCCTACGCCCTAGGATCCCCATCACCACACGCACTTCGCATTACATGCAGGATGCAGACATGATGGATCTGTTTTCTAAGAGGGTGAAGTGCAGCGCGAGCTGACATAGACTGCATAACCCACTCAGTCTGAAGCAGATCTAAGCGACACAGCCATCAGATATGATGTGACCGTACTGTGCACGTACGTGGGAGGTCAGCAGGCAGCACAGTCCACGCTTACATGTCATGTACATGTAATAATATAACGAAATGGGGCTGTTAATTGAAAATAGTGTGACGTCAATGGGCCCTTTGGATACGCGTGGCAAGGCAAAGCACAATGGACAAACAATAATGGCGAGGCCCAGCGGGATACGGTGATCTTGCTCCTTTCTATGGCTTGCAAGTACATGTACGGTCAGATTCTAAAGCCGTCGCGGATCGTGAAGCCCTTTCATGTGCTTCACCCACGCCTAAAACCTGGTATAAAGGTGAGCGCGGGAACTAGCATTCTCGCAGTTACGTTACACAAGTCAGTAGTGAAGAAGAAATCGGTTACGTTTGGTGTTGATTCACTACTAGCTGTTTACAGTTCTGACCTGTAGTTTCATGAGACTAGTTTTGTTGTAGATCTACAGCGTGTACAGAGCTGATCTAAGTGCACGTTGCTATTTGAAAAAGTGGTTTAGCAGACCCTCTGTCAGCACCAGATATTTCGAAATGGACGTATCGGAGAGAACACCGCGCAAAAGTGAGAGTGACCGTCCCCGCCTTCAGGTGAGTAAATTTCATTTCTTCAACCAATTTTCTCAGCGACTGCTTTTATTGAGTATTCAAACTTCATTCGACTCTCACGAGTTAGAGGCTCTGCTTTTTTCTTCTTCAAATCGTGGACTCTGCTGCCGTGTATTTGTATTTTCCAAAATGGTTAATGAGAAGATGTAACCAATAAGTTATTTTGCAGTTGAGTTTCAAATATCTGGTCACCTCGAGACCGAATGCATTTGAGTAAATGAATAGACTCAGATGGAGAGCCAAGGGTGTGTCTTTACCACCATATTTATCAACCATTTGTACAGCTGCAGTGGCGTCTTCAACTTCATTCTCTCTGGAGAGCCAAGGTTTAATTTATACAAAAGAGAAGGACTGGTGGTGTTAGTGGAGAGTATAGCGTTACTTGTAGTTCGTCTGTCTTTCTCTTTTGTATAAAATAAATGAATAATCCAGGTTACCAACACTGCGTAGCCAATGCCCGTCATGTGCTTACACTTGAAATGAACTGTATACCATACATATCTGAGTATTACTCCTTTACTAGTGTTAGAGTTAGATAGTCAATGTGCTCATTTACATGTACATAACATTGTATAAAGACTGACTTGTAAGAGCGAGTCGTAATGCTATATAACGGCAACGTTCACGATGCCACCTTTCCAAATTTACACTAGAAGTAGGCCTGTTAATTGATATCCCGTGCACATGAACTATCAATGTACTGTTGGACAACTGACTGGCCGGATGACTGAACAGCGACATAGGCGACTTGCAACTGTAGATTCGTATCTCCGACGTTAGCAACTGGTATATTAGCACTGAGGGTGAGCATACACAAGCGCATATAGTTGATTCTGATGATGTCTTTGCGTTTTGTTTGTTTTTCATGGTTCAATCATAGGAGCGCGGCGTTGCAGGGCTGAGAAATTTATTGTCGAAGAACGCTAATCGCCCCAAGGTAAGCGGCCCCTTCTGAGTTCCGACTCAGCATCCTCGAGAAAAAAAACACGTTTACTAACCCTCAATTATGTATTTCCTTTCAAACAAAGACTGGAGAGTTTTATAACCTTGCTGAAGAGAAGTCCAAATCTAGAAATGACTATAGCGCAATTACCAGCACGTTTTCTCCTCTCCACGCCGATATTTGGTTTGATTATGTGGCCAATGATGCAGTATCTACAATATGCGTATTCAGTACTAGTATGTATAGACCATAGACACGCGCACACACACACACACACACACACACACACACACACCCAGACACACACACACACACACACACAAGCACAAACACCCAGACACACACACACACATACTCACACACACACACACACACACACACCACACACACACACACACACACACACACACACACACACACACACACACACACACACACATACACACACACACAAACACACACACACACTTTTGTTTCCTTTGGTTTATATCATTCCATTCCGCTGCCTCAGCAGTACACTCATTGCATTCCCAACTCATCACAACCATGCGCTCTTCAGCCGAACCATTCAGACACCAGCAAGGACACTTCCGTTGAGAGATGATAATAATATTGTTTCACGCCTCTAGACGGCCGTTTCGCTCCCTGTCGGAGCTTATCACTAGAGGATGATAATGATGATAATGGAGGAATGATCATTCTTATACACCACAAATGGCGCAAGTGCGCGCTTTCCACATTATAACAATGGCATATGCAAGCTGCTAAAATGGGAAAGTGTGAGAACAGCGATAAATATTCATAGTAGGCGCTCATTGGTGGAGAAACACACCACACAGGCGACGAAAATCTTACGCGGAATACTTTTGCCAATGGAAAGTACATGTATGTTGTTTATTATTATGATGTTGCAATGGCCATGTATGCAGGCGAGGCGAGACTCACCGCCGAGATTCCCCAACGCGACAGGCTCGGTTGCCGATCAGTATTATCTCTCAACGGAAGTGTCCTTGCTGGTGTCTGAATTGTTCGGCTGAAGAGCGCGTGGTTGTGATGAGTTGGGAATGCAATGAATTAAAAATATGGCCGATAGCTCTGTCGCAATATTTAATTCAGCAGTACAACGTACACTAAAGTCTTGTACAGTGTACTTTCGCATCAATACACATGCAAACATGCGTTATAATTATGCTAATGCATGCATATGACTGTATAATAGATCCATGATTACTTCTGCACAGTTCTGCATAGTTTTCACTGATATCATGATATGAGGGCAACTGAATCACTCTCAAGATGACGTCATAGGAACGAATGTAGTAAAGTTATTCAATGAATTTTGAACTGAGTCACTGAATTAACTGTCTTCTCCCTTTGATTTCTATTGAATTTTGTAGAAACAAGCGTCAGATGATAATGAAACAGAAGATATCCTCCAGAAAATGGCAAAGAAGAACGCAGAGATTCAACGGAAATTCGATATCGCTCAACGAGATCGTGAAGAAGCTGCTGCGGTGGGTGCCTCATTCCGTTCTTCCCAATGTAGAACGCAGGCCTCCAGACTCAACGGTTCTTACGGCGCTATGTGTGCGCAAAGTCAGAACAAGCCCGAAACACATTCATCTGAGCAAAATTCTGCCAGTGTGAAGCACGCCAGAATAATGTCCCCGCCATCCAGTCAAATATCTGGTATGTCCTGTAGACGAATCCAGTCTGCCGGGAGCGCTTGTGGTCCTCTTCCGCCAAAAGGACGAGCCAGGATCCGACCACAGTCTTCCCACATGGCTGTCGTTGGTAATGTCGGAGCATCAACTGGGTCACAGGCATCAAGTCAAACTTCTACCATATCCTCGATACAACTCCAGTCTGCGGGGAATGCTCCTTGTCGTCTCCCGTCAAAAGGACGCGGAAGAGTCCGAGCACAGCCTCCAAGCATGGCTGGTGCTGGAAATGTTAGAGCATCAACAGGGCCGCCTACTACCGCACATGGACGGATGACGTTGACTCCCACTGAACAACCTGGACACAAGCAGACGGAGAGGGATAGTGATAGTGATTCGTTGCAGACTGCGTCGTTTCCAAAGATAGAGTCGCCGTCCCTCCAGGCCAGAAAGAAGCCTGAATTCAATCGCTTTGCAGGGCTTCGGGGTGCGCTACTCGGCCTGGTAACTGAGATACACGCGAAGAACGAAACATTGAAAGAGGATCAGTCCACACTGTTTTCTGGACATGTGCAAGTGGTGAGTAAGCCGAACAGGACTCCCACCGAACAACCGGGGCACAATCAAAGCGGAAGTACAGATGTGTCCGGCCAGCCGCAATCAGTATAATACACTAAGCAGTGATGTTATAATTTCTCGCCGGCCGAGCGGAGAGAGTGAGGCGAGAAATGATTTCTCCCGCAACAAAATTATTTTTCTTGCGAATATGGAATCTGATGTGTTCTCTTTTTGTTGCTGTTCTTTTTGCCTGACTCCTTCAGTCAGTGTTTTGTGTCTCACCAGTGTCTCCACCCTCCCACCCTTCATGTCTGCCTATCTTCTTCCATTTCTTTCTTGGCTGTAGATATGTTGTTCCTGTTTTTATGCTGCCATGTTGCAACTTGGGGATATCCACCCGGTTTTTTCCCTCATTCGTACGTCCGTCGGCGCGAGGGTTTTTTCCCGGCTGGCTCGGTCCAGAGAAATTAATCTGACGGTCCCAAGCGGTGCTTGTCCTGGCTTATTTATGTTAGGTGAATGTACTCATTCTTTCTTCCTGAGGTCTCTCCATCTGTTGCTGCTCTTAGTTTTCTTCTGCATTCCGGTTCACATCTGGCTGCGGCCCACTAACATCACTCTGTGAGCTCCTGCCTCTGTTGTCTGGGTCCATGTCGTTATGTCGGTGTATGTGGAGCGAGAAGAGATGAAAACTAAAAAAACTAGCACTTAACCCTTTAAGAGCCGCCCCATACTTGAATGCGTCGTAAACGACGCATTCAAATGCAAAACCTCAAAAGATCGTAACTCAGTCCAATCTTGCTCAAATTCAGTGATCGAAATATTCAGGGCGAAGAGAAAACTCTCACCTGTCGGTAGAAACAATCCGCGAAGCGCTGCGAGCAACGGTTCCTGAGATAAATCACTCGTAAGTTGAGCCGCGATCGCAGCAATTTCAAAAGCGCGCAGTGCGACTTTAGTATTGAGAATTTTGAGACTTTTCGTCACGCTGGTTTACTCGAATTTGCACGGGTTTCACTGTTGATATTGTCAAGAGTACACAGCGAAAAAATGGGAACTCCACGATCGAGTAAAATTAAATATCTGGAGCGGGACGCAATTGGACGCATTTGGGGCATTTTTCGTACTGTCGCTGCGGTCTAGCGCTGGATAGACGGTGTGCTGGCTATCATGATCAACCTCATTCTCTTCCTCTCGCGGAGACCTTTCCAGGAAGCCCTAGATTGTGAGGATTGAGTGAGTAGAACTGAAGCTATGGTCCAAGGAACACGAAAAAATGCAGAATTTTGAAATTTTCCTGTGGCTCTTAAAGGGTTAAGGTACTGAGGTATAAGAGGTGTTGGAGTTAGATGTCAGGTTGCCGAATGTCTCAGTACTCCTTGCCAGTTTTGTGCCATTTTGTCGCACTCGCTGACTGTACAAGATCTGGTTACGTTGGTGGACAGTTTGTCATAACTCGTAACATTTTGTCCTTTTCCTTTCTTCATCATACAGAAAATTATTATAATAAAAGATTTCGAACAAGACATTCTTGACATCCTGGGACTGACGGAGCCCAGGCTGAACGGAGCCAGCGCGGATACGTAGATCTACGACAACGGACTTGTTCTGTATAGTTCGGGTGGTTCGTCGTCCAGAGTTGGACTGGAGTTGGTCTTCTCACCAACAAGAAACTAGTAAATGACGTGGATCAGTGGGGGAAGTGAACTGCCTGAAAAGAAAACCAGACCCACCAGGACTTGAACCTGGGAAGTTGCTTGTCAAAAGTAATGCTCTAATCACCGTGCTATGGGACCGTGCTTAACCTAGAAGGCGCTGAAACCCTTTTCACTCCAAAGCCAGCTCACAACTCGTGCCACACATTCTGATGGCCCTTGGGTCTTTTTCCCTCCCCCAGAGACCAACCACGGTCAGTTCTGTATAGTTCGGGTGGTTCGTGGTCCAGAGCTGGACTGGAGTTGGTTTTCTCACCAACAAAAAAACTAGTAAATAACGTGGATCAGTGGGGGAAGTGAACTGCCTGAAAAGAAAACCAATCGCCAGACCCACCAGGACTTGAACCTGGGATGTTGCTTGTCAAGAGTAATGCTCTAATCACCGAGCTATGGGACCGGGCTGAACCTAGAAGGCGCTGAAACCCTTTTCACTCCAAAGCCAGCTCACAACTCGTGCCACACATACTGATGGACCTTGGGTCTTTTTCCCTCCCCCAGGAACCAACCACGGTCAGTTTCTGGACCAGACAAGAAATGAAAGAAAGTGATTACTTTCTGGAAGGATTGGGAGAACTTCAAATTCAAAGGTTCTAGGTTTTCTAGGTTCTCTAGCTTTAAGGCCTTCTAGGTTCAGCCTGGTCCCATAGCTCGGTGGTTAGAGCACTGCTCATGACAAGCAAGGTGCCCAGTTCGAGTGACTGGAAATACTCTGCGGCACCAATAAACTCCAGGGGAGCATTTGATGCTGTTGTCTTTGAGAAGGCATTGGCACGGTTGTCAGACTCTGGAGCTGGCACTGATGGCGTTACCACTCTGATCTCGGACACCATAATTGTCTTTATTAATATTATTGGGTGGATGACGACTACACCATAGCTCAGTGGTTAGAGCATCGCTGGCTACAAGCGAGGGTCCCTGGTTCGAGTCCTGGTGGTGACAGTCAATTTTTTCTTCCGACTTTTCCCGTTTATCTCTTTCCCTCAAACCAGTTAATATTTTATGACTTGGGGCTCCGCGCGTGTTAGTTTTCACGTGAAGTGTGTGGGTACAGTGAGGGCTGCGTCCCACCCGCCTGTGTGGATTCACAGGAAGTGTGAGTTACGAAGTCTGAAGAAAACGTTGAATGGTCTCTGCTGGGATGACGACTACACCACAGCTCAGTGGTTAGAGCATCGCTGGCTACAAGCGAGGGTCCCTGGTTCGAGTCTTGGTGGTGACAGTCAATTTTCTCTTCAGACTTTTCCCGTTTGTCTCTTTCCCTCGAACCAGTTAATATTTTATGACTTGGGGCACCCGCGTGCTAGTTTGTACGTGAAGTGTGTGGGTACAGTGAGGGCTGCGTCCCATCCGCCTTTGTGGATTCACAGGAAGTGTGAGTTACGAAGTCTGAAGAAAACGTTGAACGGTCTCTGCTGGGATGACGACTACACCATAGCTCAGTGGTTAGAGCATCGCTGGCTACAAGCGAGGGTCCCTGGTTCGAGTCCTGGTGGTGACAGTCAATTTTTTCTTCAGACTTTTCCCGTTTGTCTCTTTCCCTCAAACCAGTTAATATTTTATGACTTGGGGCTCCGCGCGTGCTAGTTTGTACGTGAAGTGTGTGGGTACAGCGAGGGCTGCGTCCCACCCGCCTGTGTGGATTCACAGGAAGTGTGAGTCACGAAGTCTGAAGAAAACGTTGAACGGTCTCTGCTGGGATGACGACTACACCATAGCTCAGTGGTTAGAGCATCGCTGGCTACAAGCGAGGGTCCCTGGTTCGAGTCCTGGTGGTGAAAGACAATGTTTTCTTCAGACTTTTCCCGTTTGTCTCTTTCCCTCAAACCAGTTAATATTTTATGGTTTGGGGCTCCCCGCGTGCTAGTTTGTACGTGAAGTGTGTGGGTACAGTGAGGGCTGCGTCCCACCCGCCTGTGTGGATTCACAGGAAGTGTGAGTTACGAAGTCTGAAGAAAACGTTGAACGGTCTCTGCTGGGATGACGACTACACCATAGCTCAGTGGTTAGAGCATCGCTGGCTACAAGCGAGGGTCCCTGGTTCGAGTCCTGGTGGTGACAGTCAATTTTTCTTCAGACTTTTCCCGTTTGTCTCTTTCCCTCAAACCAGTTAATATTATTATTTTTATTATTTTAATATGGCAATAAGTAGGACGAGCTGAAGCGACATGTGGACTACTTTATTTACAATGTAAGCGATGGAGACGATGCAAGAAACAACTTAAAGGGTAAGGAAAAATACATGTAAGAAGAAAAAGGGCAATGGAAAAAAAAGATAATTCGAACAAGTTTTCGTACAACACTCTTCAGGAATCACCGTTGTACTAAAGAACAAAATGAGAACAAAGGAAATAATATAGCAATCAAGGTAGGGTGACACGATACAATGACAGCACTGGAATATCGAGGTGCGAATTCTCACAAAAGTGTGCAGAAAACAAGGGTATACAAGTAAGAACTAAGCGTGACAAGTGTGTATCAGCAACAAAAACAGAAAAGTGAGAACGAATGATAATAATAACAATAATAAACAAGAAGGTGACAAAACACATTTAGGCACAAGTGGCAACAACGTTGCCACGCTACACAACAGAACATTATTTGAACAATTTTAGGGTAATAACACTATCTTTCTGGACACACAAATTCGGCTTATGAATGCGCTGACAAACAGCTTCCAAAACTTGTAACTGCAAAAGATAACCATGACGAGCACGGCACAAAACAGAAAAACAGGAATCAGAATAAGTACGACAACAGTCAGTACTAGAAACCAAATGATTGTATACTGAAGACTTGTTATTACGAGACGGACGCACACAATCTCGACTCACGCGCACACCCTCACACTCACTCTCACCCTCACTCAGCTCACCTTCTCCCTCACTGTCTGAATCAGAACCTGCTCCGTCATCCACCGCGGTTTGACTCTCCTCCTCACTTCTCCACCTTAGTCATGTTATCTACAACTTCGAATGCCGACATTGTGCTAGTCGGTATGTTGGTAGGACTGTTCAGCACCTGAACGCACGTATCAAACAATACACTCCACTTCACATCCTTACACCCAGTGCGCA